ATTATATATATATTAATATATATAATAATATATATAATAATAATAATTTTATATATATAAAATTCCTTTATGTTATTATTTATGTTATACTTAAAAATCAAATATCGAAAATCAAAAATCGAATTTTTAATAGTTATTCGTATTTTAGAAGTTTTAAAATGTTCTTATAAAATTATGAAGATATTAAAATTTAAATCATTCTTTTTCTTTTTATTATTATTATTTTTATATTATTTAATGAAACAAACTTGTTAATATACAACAATAAATACGAAATAATTTAAATGAATAAACAGAACAATAAATATAAATATAAAATATAATGTAAAATAACTGGATGAAATATAAGAATATAATATAAAATAAAATATAGAATTATAGATGCAGAATAATAATCAAAGTAATAAAATCTCAAATATAATTATTATAACAGATAATACATAATAAATATCGCTTTGAGATATCATAAAAATAATTTGTTTTAGTATGAAAGAAGTTTTTAAAAAACTAAGTAACAAAGTAACAAAGTAAGTAAACTAAGTAACTAACAAAGTAAGAATTAATATAATAAATTGATATAGATATAATAAATTTCATTTCGAGAATATTAATAAATATAATTTTTAATAAAAATTTATAATTAATTTAAAAAGCATAATATTTATTTCTTATATAGCATATTTCTTTTTATTAACTATAGATATTGTTGTATTAGTATTTTTAATTTGAATATATTTAAAAAATCAGAATTAATTGCTTTTAGAACAATTTACTTAATTTATTTCTTATCATAAGCTTATACTCGAGAAAGCTCGATTATATTTTACTAGTTTTACGCAAGCAATTGTGCAAATGCCAATACCCACAACAAAGTGAATATTGGACTATGTAAGTAGACAATTGTTCATGGACTATATTTATAAATAGTTTATATGTATTGTATAATAATGAAATGAATATATCCAAAATAGTAATACGTAATGATGATAATGGAACGAAATTTTGAGAAGTTGAAAAAAAAGAGGAAAAGAAACTTAAATATACAATTTTTATTTTTTAAATGATTTATTAATTTCCAAAATTATAATAAAAATCTTTCTACATATTGAAAACTGCTTATATGTATATGTTTATATGTACGTATCTATCTATAATATATGCGATTATTATTTATTGTTTCTATAAAATGAATTATTGTTTCATTTAGTTGAATATTCGAATCTTTCATGGTTAAAAAATATTTTACAATAAATTATTTGGTTTAAAAGTTTTAACATTACATTAGTATTAACATTGTACACTTAATTTTTTTGATCGAATAATGAGAAAGATTCTAAAATCAAATTTATTTTTTAAAATAATAATATGACATTAATATATAAAATTTAAATGTATTAATCGATTAACTGGATATTCTCTATAAACAGATATTAATCTACTTATATCGAAAAAATATTGTTTAGAAAATATTTTAATTAAAAAATTCGAAGACTAGGAATAATATTTTGCAATGGATTTTAATTCAGAACAATTTTGCTAATAGAATATAAAAACGAAACTATGCATTTCCTTTATTAGCCATTATTTTCAGTTAAACAATATACTTTATAATGCTTTAAACGATAGCAAACGAGATTATTTAATCAATAAGAAAAATATATATTTTATTTTTTATGTATATATCCACAAATATCAGAATAATCTATTGAAGTAGAACTGATAAAAGATTAAAATTAAGATTTAAATTGAAATATTTATAAACTAATGATTTTTCAATATAAGTAAGTATATACATATAATGAATGAACACATATTTAATATTCATACTGATTAGGATTCTTCGAATGCGAAAATAAAATATAAAATTTTTGATTGAAATTTTTAATAATCGAAATTACAGAAATATATAATAAATAAATAAAACTGATATTATTAGATCATTTAGATTTTAAATCATTTTAAATCTGTTTATTTTATAAATTTAAAGAAATGTTTCAAAGATTGTATTTTCGAAATGTTTCAATCATCGATTAAGATGAATTTTAGAAGCGTAATATAATAAAAAAGGAATATATCTTAGATCTAAAATTTTAATTTCGAAAAATTGCTAGTTTCTGAGATATAATCTTAGATAAAAAAATTATAAATTGAAAAAAACTTTCGATATTATATGTTAAAAACTATATTAAACATTATTAATACATTGAATGCTATCTTCATATTGTCTATCCAAATGTTATTGTATAATAATATAATAGTTTTCATTAATCATTATTGATGACATCTAACTATCAGTCTCGGTATCTATAAGTTATTTCATTTACAATTTATTAAAAATCTAATCACTTATTCTTATAAAATTAAATATATTTGATTTACTAAATATCAAATGCGATATCGTAAAAAAAAAGGACTGAAAAAAGAAAACAAACTTGCAGATAAAAACATTTGACGAATAAAAATAAATGATTGCTTAATTATTTTGGATATGCTTTGAATAGAAGCAATTCAAGTAATAGATATTAAATTATGTTAGAATTTAAAAAAACTTTCGGGAAAAGGGATATTTGCTATTTTTCATTTCTGAAAATATTTTCTATGGAAAAAGTTTTTGTTATAAAATTTAAAATTCACTGAAATTTTATATGTGGTTTTATTATTGAATGTTACAACAACATCACTATTTTATAATTGGTATCCATTTATTTTTCTTCGATATATATATTTCAAATGTTTTGTAAACAGATATGCGCAATCACATATAATTAAATATATTCATTCAATTAAACCTGTACATTTTTATTTATTGTTTTCGCTATCCAGTCAACAGGTTATGGGCCCAGATTATGAAAGAAACAATAAATAATTAGATAAAGTACAATTAAATTGAAAAACGTGGATTAGTTAGCAAACGGCCTTGAGCAAACGTGAAATATCACCCTAATCGTCATGGAGTATGAAACTGTTCGTATTAATAAGCTGAAAGAATTAGAAAATAAAATTGAGCCTCATGGAAATTTCAAGTGCGCATTACTTTGAAATCCTGCGATGCATGGGAAATAGTTACAGATGAATCAGTTCTTCCTGAAATGATGCGCGCATTGCCTAAACAAAACTCGACAGTACAACTCAACGCATAATTGCCACATCAGTGGATGAAAAACTACTTTTACATATTATCAACTGTGAATCGATTAAGAATATGTGGAAAAAATTGGAATCTGTTTACGAAAAAAAATTTGATATTAGTGTATATATGCTGTTACAGCAATGATACAGTTACCAGAAAGAATCGGGCGATGATGTCACATCGTAAAACTCGAGAATCTTGCACATCTGCAAATTCTGGGTGAGAAAATTTCAAATCAAATGATTATTACTAAAATACTCATGATATTACCTCTGTCATTAAAATATTATTAGTGCGTGGGAATTAATTCAACCCAACGAAAGAACTCTCACAAATCTTATTTCAAGGCTTACCATTAAGAAAACAAGGATAGGAACTGAAGAAAGGGCAGAGAACATTGCTTTTACTGCCAATAAGCATCAATGTAAGAAAAATTTTAAAAAAGACAACGTTAAATCAAGCGTATATCATTATTGCAACAAACCAGGGCATTGGATCAAGGAATGCAGAAATCGAAAAACAGTAACATCAAACAAAAAATACACAGGAAAGAAAGGAGAAGCATTCATTGGAGCCATGTCTGCAAAATATAATTTAGAAACATCTAGTAATGCATGGCACATGGATTCGGGTGCGACTGAGCATATGTCAAATCGTCGCGAATGGTTCTCGTCATATAAAAAATTTGATACAGTAGAGAATATTAAGATAGATAATGAAAAATATATTCAAGCAATTGGATCAGGAGATATCGACATTCTTGCTTTCGATGGAAAAGAGTATCTCAGTAATTTTCACGTAGCAGAACTGAGTTCCAATCTTTTTTCGACGAGCGCAGATCTTGACAAGGGACTACGACAATACTCCGATGACAAAATATGTACATTCATAAAAAATGGAAATATTGCTGCAGTGAGAGAAAGAAAAGATAAGTTATTCGTAATGAAATTTAAAGTGATTACAGACGAGTATCAAATATGGCAAATGTGGCAGTGCGCAATTCTCTTTTTTCCTGACACAAACAGAAAGATGATACAATCAAAATAAATATCGAATCGAAAACTGTTATTCAGTCGGAAAACAACGAGTAAGTAAATTCAGATGAAGAATCAAACGATCCAGAAAACAAAAATCAATACGAATAAGACCGACGTTTGAGAGACAGAAATAAAATACGCCGAGCAGACATACTCACGTATGGAAATATTGTAATCACAGAACACTATGAACCGGAAAGATATGATGACGCGATCACATGTAGCAATGCAATCAAATGGAAAAAAGCCATGGATGACGAAATTGATTTTTTGAGAAAAATTCAAATATGGATATTAGTAAATCCGCCATCAGATCATTAAATCATAGATAATCGATGGACTTACAAACTGAAAATAAATAGCGATGGAAACATACAACGATTCAAGGAATGACTCATTGCTAAAGGTTTCAAACAAACTGCTAGAGTTGACTATCATGAAATGTTTAGTCCTATAGCTAGATTCGATTCAAGGATTATCCTATCTATCACAGTTTCGAACAAAATGTACTTATAGCAATTTGACATCAAAACGGCTTTTTTTCACGGAGAACTCGATGAAATTATCTATATGCAGCAACCGAAGAGATACAAGCCGATCGTTTGCAAGTTGTGTTTGCAAGTTGAATCGTAATTTATATAGTCTAAAGCAGGCATCAAGATGTTGAAATCATCGTTTTACAGCGGTGTTGAAGAAGCATGGTCTCACGTCCACAGTGCAAACTATTGCATATTTACAAATGAAAATGATCGAGACCGATTGATTCCAGCGATTCATGTCGATGATGGATTAATTAACAACAACAATTGCAACAAACTAGTCATCTATAAAAAAAATTTAGTTGAACTCCATAAAGAATTTGAAGTAACATCCAATGAGATAAATACATATCTGGGATTACAAATTGAGCGATTGGCAGATAGTTCCATATTTTTGCATCAGAAAGTTTACACCAAGAAAATTTTGCAACGATTTCAGATGGAAAATGCTAACGCAGTAGTAATCTTAGCAAACGAAAACCATCAACTATGCGTGGAGGCGCATAAAAGTGAATACAAGGAAAAATCAGAGTTCCTATATCGACAAGCAATTTAATGGAAGTTAAAGGCAGTTTAATGTATTTGCTAGTAGGCACTAGACCAGACATTACATTTGCAAATAAATAAAGTCAGCCAATATTTTTGGACAAACCTAAAAAAATTCACTGGAATGCAGTAAAGAGAATTTTCAAATGTCTAAAGGGAACAACAAAATATAGTATTCATTATTCAACCGAACAGAATAATTACATTAATAATTACATTTAACGATAGATTACGCTGGAGAGACTGAAACCAGGAAGTCCACTACTGATTTTGTATTAAAACTAGGCGATTCTGTAAAAGTTTGGAGGTCAACGACAATGACGACACGACAACGAGTAACTGTATCGACTACTGAAGCTGAATACATAGCAGCTAGTCAAACTGTGAAAGACTTTTTCATATGAATGAAAAATCTGATCAATGATCTAACTACGTTCAAGAACCTTACAATGATTCTTTACGTGGATAACTTAAGCGCAATCAAGCTTATTAAAAACTCAGAATTTCAAAATTCGAAGAAGTAAGCACATTGATGTAATATTACTTTATATGAGATAAATTTAACGAGAAGGAGTTTCTTCTGCATCATATATCATCGGAGGATCTAACCTGTTAACAAAACTCCTGAGAAGAACAGTATTTGAGATACAAAGAAATCGATTAAATATCAATAGTATCGAAGACATGATAGGCACATAGAACTATGATACTCAAACATAAACATACATACTAAACAAATTTCAATTCATTTTTAATGGGAATATTATAGAATTTAAAGTTTACTGAAATTTTATATGTGGTTTTATTATTAAATGTTGCCAACAACATCATTTCATAGTTGGTATCTATTTATTTTTCTTCGATATATATATTTCAAATATTTTGTAAACAGATATGCACAATCACATATAATTAAATATATTTATTCAGCTAAATCCGTATATTTTTATTTATTATTTTCACTGTCCAGTTAACAGATATAAGATATCTTATAGATATCAAAATCTACATTAGATACTTGATGACACGATTTTCATAACGAAAATAGTTGTTTAGTCATGCGTAGAAATTAATGTAGTACTGAAAGTTTTTCGTTAATATATTGAAAACTAATAAATAAAATTAAATTAAATTTTCTAATTGTTTTATATTTCTTTTTTTTATTTATATTTTATTTATATTTCTTCAAATTTGGTATAAATTGATCGTCAGACTTTTTTCATCCATATTAATTATAAGAATAAATATTAGTTATAATATTTTACAATATTATAATATTATAATATATATATTAATTATTGAAATTGATGTAGCTAAATGTTATTAATTACAACAACAATTATTACAACAACGATAGTTTCATGATAATAACGAATACAATTCACTAATAATATTTGTATAATATTAAATATTAAAAAAATAAAATTCAATGTATTGATAGTCTTTTATTAATATCGCAGAAGTTAATAAATAGTCAAAGCTAAAATTTTTTATTCAAGATACTTCTTTGTTCTCATTTCTTCTCAAAATTTTGATTCATTTTAAAGATTGAATCATATCGTATCATATTTAATATTCATAATTTACAGAAAACAGAAGATAAAATAAATTTTAGAGTAATTCGCAGTTTAAGTATTGATTTAAATTTTATTTATATTGCTAGATATGGATATAAGATATCATCCGTAAATAGTTTGTATACATGATCCAATATTAGTTATAATAATAAATAGTGCATGCGGATTATTCGCAGATAATGTCTATGTATATATCGACTTTCAATATTTGAATTTTTTATAGACATGCCTCAATCAATAGCAATCAATATGTCAACTATCCTTACATCGCGAAAATATAATTCAATATATTATATTAATACATGGTATCAATTTTTCTTTATAACTTTTAGTTTTTACTTTTTAAAAAATACATTTTTCACATAGAGTATAAAAAATAAGAGTATCTAGAAAGTAAATAAAATTACAGTAGTTATGAAGTAGTTATGAATAAAACAGAATAAATTGGAATAGAGTATTCCAATATTGGAATAGAGTATGAAGTGTAATAAAACAAGATAATGTTGATATTATTTAATTATAATTATCTTATTGTAATTATTGTATATACATATAAATATTTTATTATAATTATTATTTTTTTAGGCAAAAAAAATAATAAAATATAATATAATAAAAATAATATTATTGATTTTTTCTTAAATATAAATATCAAAATCTTATGATATATTGTACAATAATTGTACAATGTCTATTTAATCTTTCAAATTTAAATGCAATCATTTCTTTCGTTTGTTCAATATTGTATTATATGGTTGCATAAATGACAATGATTTTATCATTATATAATATTTAAATATCAATATAATATTTAAATATCATATAAATGTCATATAAATTTATCCTTTGAGAGTTATTCAACAGTGATACAATAGTGAACGAAAAAGTGAAGTGAAACATATATGACGATGACAATAACTTAGATCATATACAAGATATTAATATATATTATTATAATTAATGTTAATATATTCGTGAAACATTTTTAAAAATTTCTAGAGAATAAAGCAAGAACAGAAATTTATATACAAAAATGTTTGAAGTATATTTATTAAGTTAATTAAGCATATTTATAAGTTCATGTTAAATGAAACGAGACGAGTAGAGTAACGACAATATAACAGAAACAAAATGTATGTAATTTTATTTCTGCTTCATTTCGATGGTAAATTCTTATAATTTAATATAATAAATTTATATTATATTTAATTATATTTTCTAATAAATTTTCATTGACATTTATGTATAATTTTTATATTTGTTTTCCATATCATATCATATGTTTTCCAAACCAAAAATCTCTAAACATCTAACAAATATATTAATATTGTTTATATGCAAATTCGCTATTCAGAGGTTATGTTTTTGAAAAATAGAGAAATAAAATTAGATAGGGAATGAGTATATAGATGAATAAATGGGAAGATCTGAGAAAGTAATGAATTCAAAGAACTGTCAATTTAAACCACAAATGATCGAAGTCAGAAAGCTGATATAGAATTGTACGTATGAACAAATGATAAAAACGAAAATCATCTTCTATTATTTATCAACAATAAGTATTTTATAATCTATAAAATAAATTTTCAACTATTAAACAATTTCTTTGATTTATTTTGGCTTATGAATTTCTATATATAAGTAATATTTATAATATTTATATGATCAAAATTATTCTGAAAAAATAAATGGAATATTCCATTCATAAATTTTCTATATTCTATACTATAAAGAACTATAAAACAATAATTATTTTAGTGAATATCTTGATGTATTTTCATTTTCCTTTAATTACAATTAGCAAAATGTAGATATATTTCAGTAAATATACATTATTTGTTTGTATATAATTATGAAAATTTCAAATTAATTGAAAATTATTTAGAAGTAATTGTATTTAAAAAAAACAATGTAACAAAACTATAAGACAAGTAATAAAATAAATGACAAGAATTTAATACACAGTAAACTTCTTATTAATAATGTGTAATATTTTTATCTTAATTATTTCAATCATTGTTGATATATAATGATTTATATAAATTTTTAAATAATATTTTGATTTAGTATTTTCCATTTTTTTAAAATATATTTTTTTCATTTTTTTATATAATTAAATTATTTGCTATTTGAATAAATATCTAATCAAGCATTCACCAATAGTTTTCAGCAATAAAATTGATATTAGATTAATATCAAAATATATAGGCGTCATTATAAATACATTATTGGTAGTAATGTAATATAATTGCTTTTTTGTTTCAAATAAAAACATGGCAGTTAATCTCTGCTAAGCGTTTTTCAATAAATTAATAAATCAATTTTTTTTATAAAAAATAGAATAATTAATTTTATTTAATAAAAAAACATATGGCTTCTAATTATAGAATTAATGTTAAAGATTGGAAAAATTAGAATGAATGGACTTTTTCTGTAGAAAATTTATTCATCAAAATACATAATAAAATGTATTCAGAAAAATATTTCAGCTGCAGAGAATAAAAAAGTCAAAGCTAAATTGATTTTAATGCATCATTATTTGTATATATCAAATAGGAAACCATAAAGGAATTGAAACAAACTGAAGAATCTGTTTGATAATTCTGAATTTTCCAAAAAAATAAACTTTATATCATGAAACTAAAAAATTATAAATTAGGAATGTTTATGAAACACAAATAACGAAAACAGAAAGGAACGAGATATAAAATTATTGACGAATTTTTTTATTGAATCGTTATTGATTTACCGATTTAATTGATTTACCGAAAAAATTCTCATTTTTATTTTGATAATGTTTGATAATGTTCATTAAATATCAATCATAAATGTGATATGTTTTATCAACAGATGATAAAAACGAAATAATTAAATATAAAATTAAAAAGAAACAAAGTCGAAGCTAATATTGTGCATTCGCTAGCAAAGATTGATAATGAAGATATAAATGATGATAATGAAAAAAGATAATTGCATAATAATATAGATTATGATTTATGTTTTTCAAGCATCAGATTAATATTTGTTAATATTATACGTTACAAATGTAAACAAGTTATAGAAATCAGTATTATAATATTGCATTATTTGATCAATATTATAAATAAAAGAAATCAAATGTATTCTTTGCATATTTTTAAATGATGATTTTAATAAAAATGATTGATATGTTAATTCAATTAAAAATAGGTAATATAATATAATATAATATAATGTAATGTAATTTAGATAAAATTATAAAAAATTGATTCATCTTATAGATTAAAAATATCAGAGATAATTGCAAATAAATGATAGTTTTTATTGTTGTATTGATATTGTATATATTATAATAATTATAAAAATTTATAAAATAATTATAAATAATAATTATAAATGTAATATTAAAGTGAAATATAATTGTATGTGTCTAATTTGACAATGATACGTGATTGGATTGATTAAAAACGGAAATAAACGTTTGTTCGAAGAAACTCTATTTATACAACCAGAAGATGAAGTAGTAATAACTGATTTAATCAACAGTGCATATAAATTAAGAGTGAAAATTAATAGTTATGTCTTGGTTGCATCAGTAAAATGTGGCACATAACGTTAGGATGACCAACAATGACATGAATAAAATGAGAAATGATGTAATAAGAGAATTAATATATTTTGACAAAACAAGGATAATCAAATGAGTTGTATTGTATATTATGAGAGAAATCGATCGAAACTACTTTTCAAAAATATAGATACCAGAAATTCAGAAGTATTAAAATTGATACATGTAAATATATTCGAAGTCATGAAAATTAAATTCATTAATAAATAAAGAATTGAAT